CATCTTAAAAACTAAAAAATAGAAGAATAGCTTAGCAAAGTTTCTCATAAACGTAATCCAATGCAGTAAATTTGATAATTAAATTTATTCTGTACACTAAACTAAAAACTTATGCGTAAATAACAAACTGAAACTGCCCAAAACAAAGTAAATCAAAAAATTAATAATAAGTAAATATTATCAAAAAGAGATGAATGATAACTGCAAGCCCAGATTTCATAAATAGAAAGATTAATCTAACGTTAACTATTAAATGAAAATTATTACAAAATAGAATGCCCCTCAACAAGTACCTGGTTGTTTTATGGGACTATTTGGTGAATTGATAAAATCAACCAGAAATTTTTCCAAGACATCAGCATTGTAATCCATCTTTGGCCGATCAGAATAACCCAGGCCCGGCCAATCAACAATAGTTGCCCGCCAATTGGCATTGCCATTACGCTGAACAATGTCTCCAGCCACTAATCTCCATTCCTCAACAGTGCTAACATCAGAAATGGTTGGCATCATCAAGATATTTTGCGAAGGCTCCGGGCTCTCCTTTACAAGCTCCTCATAATAAATGTTTATAAGATTGTCCTTGAATTTCCATTGCCAATTACTAGTCTGATGGAAAAAAGAAAAAACCAATATGAGTGAGGCAACAGAAATGATTGCAAATTCTGACATGGCTTTGATATTTTCTCTCAATTAAAAAAGCATCCAAATTCCGAGTTTCAATTGTTAAATATCCAATGAAAAGATAATTGCTTCTATAAGCCAATGAAGACAAATCAATAGAATGTTTATTACGTTAACGACATAACGGACTTCTGAATTTCAGATAAACGTAAGTCTTGAAATCTTATTAAAACACTAGACTAAACAACATTTAAAGTAATATCTATCACTAGAGTTTCTTACTTTAACCTTCTAAATAGTGAAAGTGTGTGTTGTTAAATGGGTGAAAATTGTCTTCCACGAATTCAGTACAATAATTTAACAAAACCGAGAAAGTAATTTGGAAAGCACAAGTAGTAAAATGAAATACAGCCATTAACAGTTAGAGGGGGAAGTTATTCTGACCTTCAAAGGGGAGGATTTGTCGTTGGCAGAGACATTAGAATAATCGAGAGTAGTTGAAGCCCGAATTTTTAAGGGGCTAAGGAATCTGACAGAGTGAGGGTAAAAGGGTGCACGAATTTTGGCGTAAAGTTTAAATTTTGGAGATGAGGGAGGCATAAATGTTGCGTGGAGAGCCATTGGAGAATGCAGCAGAGCTTCGATGGACAGTGGTGAAAGCTTAACCTGAAAAATTGAAGACCTAAAGTTTAAGGACCCAGCAGAAAATGCTGACCATGGAGTCGTTGAGATTTTTGGTTGGTGATGGTAAAATCAGAAATCAAAACTCTGCTTACAGGAGTTGTATCCAATAGTTGTCCATAATTGTAAGGAAAATACGTCAAAAATAAAAATCAATCTCCACACATTTGTAAAATTATAATATTGTTACAGTATATTTTTAAAAATAAAAAACTTTATTAAAGTAGTCCATTATAACATTTAAACTATTAAAAAATGGCATGACTTTTATATTTTTTAATTTATCTCAATATTATTCTTCCAAGATCGATGTGTGTATATAATAATTGCTTTCTAAATAAACTCATTTTTGACATAAAATTTTATTAAAATAAAAAAAATAAAAGAATACGAAAAATCACATTAAATTTATTATAAAAATTATATTTCAAAAAACATAAATAAATTATATCTGTGAAAAAAAATTAAATAAATATATTAAAATAAAATATCAAACTTTGAATAAAAGTCAAATTAACTAATTTATTGGTAGAATAATTTTTTCATAAAAAAGTTTAACTTATTAGAGAGTTCGTGTCAATGAAACTGAATGTTTTCGGATAGATTATAATAAGCAAATACATTTTATGGAAAAACTTATTAAAATATATTTCAACTTATTTTAATAAATTTGCACGCAAACATGTAAGTAAACTTATTTGTTTTATTAGATTATATTGTATTTGGATAAATAATACATTTAAGTAGTTCAATAAGTCAATATCTTATATTACGGGGTAATTAAGATGAACTAAAAATGCTTATGGACATCATAAGGTACTTTAATAAATAAATAAATAAAGTTTAGTGTATGTGGAAAAGGATAACATAACTGTTTCTATCTATACCATTCCAAGGTTTTGCTGTATTACACGTTTTCTAAAAATTCTAAAACTATCTTTGTTTTCTTAACGAATTTTAAACTCTTTTCATAGAATTTTAAAATTCTTTAAAAAAAAGTATTTTTGGAATCTTAAAGTATAGAGAGAAAAGTAAAGAGGTGCAGAAGAAAACTCAGACATAAGTTTTTAAAAGACTTATTTAGGAAGTGTAATTCCCTCCACCACCAAATGCTTTCTGCATCACCTCATATTTAATTTGCTCTTCTAATAAAATAAATGTCGACATCCATTTCACCTTCAACAACAAATGTTAACATCCTTTTCACCTTTGATATCCATCAACGGATGTGACACATCCGTAAACTAAAAACTTAAAAAAATAAATAAAGAATTAACTCTGTTTAACTAATTATATAAAAATATTATAATAATTAATTAAATAATATATAAATTAAATTAATAATTATTATTATTTAAAAAAATTGTTAATTTATATATAATTATGTAATAAATTTAAAATAAAATAAAATAATATTTATATGTTAATTTAAAATATAATAAATAAATAAACTTAAAAAAAAACCTGTGGCTTCCGTTTAATTAATAATGTGAAAATATTATAATAATTAACTAAATAATAATATATAAATTAAATTAATAATAATAATTTTATTAAATAAAATAAAATTAATTTATATATTATTATGTAATAAATTTAAAAGAAAATTAAATAATATTTATATATTAATTTTAAATATAATAAATTAATAAACTAAAAAAAATCTTAACAGGATGTGACACATTCGTTTAACTAATTGTATAAAAAATATTAAATTAATAAACGAAAAATTAAAACAAAAAACTTGAACGGATGTAACGACATGGGATGTGACATCCGTTGAAGAAAAAATGTGAAGGTGTAGGATATTTTAAAATATAAAGGATAATTTTAAAATTTAAAAAAAATGTGATGTTACAGGAGTGGTGTAGGGAGTAACCTCTTATCTAAATTATTCACCCAAACTAGACCATTAGTATTGGGTGCTTATTTATGCACTAATTATTTTCTTCCTGCACCCCATTTTTTTAAATTGCAAAATTAGCCTTTGATTTTTGTGTGTTTCGGATTATGAAATCCAGTGTTAGTTTACTGGAGATTTGAACCGGACTTCGTGTTCCATTCGTGATTAAAATCAAATTATGAAATTCGATGTTAGTTTTTATGGTTTAATGTTTACCGAATTAAGTGTTACATGTAATATGAGAAATGAGCAATTCAGTTTGGATAAATTGCGTATGAGTGCAGCACAATGGTCCTTACCCGAATCCTGTAATTCGAGTAAGCATAAATGTCTTCTTCCAGGATCCTCATTAACATAGAACTCAACAATATCATGCTCACAAACCCCACCATTATGGGAATACCATGACAGCAAACCCCCTATCACCCAAAGAAAAATTGAAGACTTGAAAAGAATTTGAAAAGAATTAGCTCACAATATCATGCTCACAATCCATGCATGTGAAATCTAATTTATTTTAATAATAAGTATGATTCAATGAGTGAACTATTTGGGAACAATTTGAAAAGAATTAGCGTACAGTTATGCGGTGAAGTGATTTCTTGGTGAGTATTACTTGAAATATTGAATTTTCTATTTTAAGTAAAAAAAAATTCCTAGATAATCTTATACAAACGAAAGTTAGTAAACATCATTTGACTGAAGTATTTGTGTGTATGTGAAATGGAACTTGTTGGTTCACAAATGGGACCCCAGTTGGAGATTTTGTCGCCCAAATCCACAAGAGTGTTTCTGAGCCATTGTGGATGGAACTCTATGTTGGAGAGCCTTAGCCATGCTGTGCCAATGATTGGGTGGCCACTAGCTGCTGAGCAAGCATATAATGTTAAGATGTTGGTGGAGGAAGTGTGGCTGTAGAGCTCACTCGAACTGTGGAAAACCACCATTACTAGAGAGTAGGTTCGAAGGTTATAGAATTAGTGATGAACCAGTGAACCGAATTATGAAATCCGTTGTGTGAACCAAAATTGTGAAAACTAATGTGTCTGCTAAATCCAGTTGGTTCAAATCATGTGTACTGGATTTTGAAATTCAATTGGATCATGGAACTAGCTTTTGATATTAGCTTTTTGATATTAGGTGTGTTATTAAAAGATCTTGTTAACAACTTCGAATTATGAAATCTAGTTAATATTAAGTTTATCGAGAAGGAATTCATTAAAAAGATACAACACTAATAATATATAAATTCAATCACATAAAAAATTAATAATGTTTTACTTTTTCATTTTTATTAAATGTGAAACTTAGACTCATACTTAGTTTTTCTTACCATTAACACCATCAAATCCGAACACACAAAATGGGTTTCAAAATTAAAAAAAAAAAAAAAACATCGGATTACATAATTTGGTGCTTGTTTTGATTTATCTCAACCACCCACCCCACACCAAGGGTTTGGCTTGCACGAAGAAGAGAATACAAATAATATATAATTTGTAGGAGCAAAATGGAAAGGACAAGAAAAGTTGGGGATGCAGGAAGAAACTCCCTTATTATTTGCAGTTTTTCAGTTTATGCTAGTCTATGTCTCCTGCACCATATTTGAAATCACGAAATACTAAGAAGAAAATAAAATAGGTAGAAAAAAATGTGAGTTATGAAGAAAAAAGAAAGACTCTTAATGAAGCATATTAGCATTATATTTGCTCCGTCTGGCTCATTGGTTTGTAAATGTAGAATGCAAGGCTACTTCCATAACTCGTGAGTGAAGTAATGATATATATTGTGTTGGGCCCTTTCTTATCCACAATTTCTTTTAAAGAACAAAAACAAAATATTAATTAGTCGATGGCTTTATTTTTGCTTCCATCAACGAACACTTACAGCTAATAACCATATAGTATAAAGATAGTCAAAACAGGTTTTTTCTTCTTGCAACAAAAGATTTTTCATACAGAGGACTAATTAAACCCAATCAGCATTCTTAAAAACCTAACTATTTACCAACTGTGTCAAACTTTGTCGGTAATGGATGATTCGATTATGTCAATACAACCATAAGCGCCAACCAAAGGGAAAAAAAAAGATATTAAGCATAATCACCAGCCATTAAAAAGAATTTTACCAAATTCATATGGAGAGGAACACTCTTATTATCTCGTCTTCTTGCATTTGATGCATTAAGGGTGCCATGGGACTATATTCACAAAGCCGATGCAATGAACTGAGCCAACATCTTTCCATTTAAAATGTTACTACCAAAGCTACAACTAGTCTCTCCCAACAAGAGACCGTTCGATCCGCCATAGTCACCAAGAGACCAAGTTCTGCTACTACAACAACTGCCTAGCTACTTCAGCAAAGAATTGTCATTGATAATGGACCTGGCAATGTTCTCTGTTATATTCTATCCACAATCATTGCCACTGAACTCCAATTCCCATGACCTGTTGGAGAGACCATTTGATGTTCCCGTCAAATTTTGGTTTGAGGTAGGTGCACGGGAACAAGGAGCAAGTGTATGGCTATCATTATCATAATAAAGAATTGATGTTTCCGGAAAATCCAAGTGGCATGCTATTTGGGAGGCCCTAAGCAGCTTGTTCATCAACGGATTGAAACATTCCATGTTTATTTGTCTCCGTGAGGGTTTTGTTGTTACCGTAATCGTTGTATTCTGAATAACTCAATTAAGCGCTGCTCCTCACTAGTTTGTATGGCTTTTGTTGATTCATCCTTTTCACTTGTCTCTTTTTGTCTTCCAACAGGTGTCTTGTACTCTAGAGGAATGATGGTAGAAAAAACAGTAGTTATTGGCTTTCTTCTCATTTAATGGGCATTAACCATTTCACCATACTTCTCCAGTAAGGGAGGAAAAACCACTAGACAGAATAGCTAGATGCTTCTCTAGTAGCCATTATATTAGACCAACATGCCTCACACATCATGTACGCCAAATTGCTGTCATGTCATCAGCATTGAGCTATCTAGATCAGCCAATTTGGAGAAAATCAAGAAATTGTGTATTTTCCTCATAAACAAAGCCAGTCAAGATAAGCTACTTGATCAATCACCTGTCACCAGTAATCTCTGCAAGAACAGAATCCATCTTTGAACGAGTGGAAGCGGCTTCTATCTCTCACTACGATTTCTACTCCATAAATTTTAGAAATCAGCTTCATCACGGTATGGCAGTCCCCACAAACCCTAAGATTCTTCACAATTCTTAAAATCCTTCCTTTGGGAAGTTTTGCTATTCCAAAAGCTGCAGCAAGCTTCTCACTGTGCTTAGAAACTGAATCTTCTTTTTCTTCCTCTTCAATGTCATGCAGAACAATCCTTAGCTGTGGCGCATAACCTGCTTCTACTCTGAGTCTCAACATTATTTCCCTCAGTTTTTCATGAGCCTCTTTTGTGACCTCATTAGGTTTTTCACCTGCCACAAAACAATAGATGACCTTGTCAATTTCTATCATGCTCCAACCAGGAGCTTTTTTCATGCTATGCTCAGTCATGGTTCTTCTGATGCTGGCAACATCCTTCCATTTCCCTGCAACGGCATAAACATTTGAGAGTAGTACATGGTCACCAGAGTTGTCTGGGTCCATTTCAGCCAGCCTTGCTTTCACAAGCTCTGCCAATTCAATATTACCATGAATGCTACAAGCCCCAAGGAGTGTCCTCCAAATGATAGCATTAGGAGAAACTGGCATTTCACATATAAATTCATAGGCCTTATGCAACCTAGCAGCTCGACCGTACAGATCAACCATGCAACCATAATGCTCAATGGCAGGTTCAATACCGTACACATTCTTCATCTTAGAAAAAAAACCATACCCTTCCTCAACCAAGCCACTATGGCTACAAGCATATAGTAGTGATATAAAAGTAATACCATCTGGCCTAACTCCAGTCTCTTCCATCTCATGGAAAAGCTGTATTGCCTCTTCTCCATAACCATGCATAGCAAGCCCTGCTATTATCGATGTCCAAGAAACAATGCTCCTTGCCACTGGCATATTCTGAAAAACCAACCTAGCCATAGCTACATTCCCACACTTGGAGTAGGTATCTATGAGAGCATTATTCACAGAACCAACATAAAGAAACCCAGCTTTCTCCAGAAACCCATGTAAAATCTTACCAAACTCAAACGCCCCAGCCTGTGCACAAGCAGACAGCACCCCAGTGAGGCTCACTTCATTTGTCCCAATTCCCTCGCCCAGCAACTCCCTGAAAAACCCAAAAGCCTCGTCAAAACAACCATTATGAGAAAACCCAATAATCATAGTGCTCCAAGAAACCTCATCTCTAAGAGGCATATCACAAAAAACTCTCCTCGCCAACCCAAGCTCACCTGCCTTGGCATAACCAGCAAGCATGGCATTCCACGAGGTCAAATTCCGAACAGGCATTCGCCCAAACACGTCCCCTGCGCCTTCCACGTCACCACACCTGAAAGCCGCAGTGATAGCAGCGTTCCATGCGACGACGTTTGGTTCATACATTTCATCGAACACTCGTCGCGCGGAGAGGGAGTCCCCGCATTCAGCGTACATGCTGATCAACGTTGTCCCAACGAAGATATGGGTGTCAAAGCCGTGGTGAAAAGCTTGAGAATGCAGCTGAATGCCGGGCCTAAGTTGGCGAGAGTCGGCGACCCCTTTGAGGACGAAGGCGAAAGAGAAGCTGTCGGGGGAGAGGGTGGGTTGGCGACGCAGTTGGATGAATGGGTGGAGGGAAAGGAGAGGGGTTTGGGAGAAAGAGAGTCCGCGAATGAGGGTATTGTGCATGAAGGTGTCAGGATTGGGGAAGTGGTGGAAGAGCCTGAGAGAGTAATGGAGAGCATCGGAGATGGAAACGGCACAGTGAAGGAGGAGTTTGCCAAACACAAAGGGGTCTGCGTGAAGACCGGTTTTCACGATGTGACAGTGGATTTGCTTCGTGGATTTCAGGTTTCTGCACTTGCTAAGCAGACGAACAACCCATCCTTCTTCCATTCCCTCCCCCAACATTCAAGCCGCTAAAACTTAACTCTGTATATTCTTGAACATCAGTGTGATCTTCAGCAACCCCAAAGTAAATTTAATATCATATCAGAACATCTTTCCTTCATTTTTTTAGCCACGTCTATTTTTCAATCTTGGATGTTTCACATTTTCATTATGACTTTTGTGATGTTGTTTTCTTTATCTATCCAATTTGAATAAAAGTTTATTAATTAAATATAATATTTTATTATTGAAAAATATTGCAAAGTAAAGGTAAAAGAAAAAAAATGGATGCGAAATGATAATTTTTCTTAACATTGACTCATTCTGTTGTAGGAGCAGTAAAACTCTCAATTCGTTCTGAATATATTTTTAACAAAGTAAAATAGGTTATCTGAATCGTTTAATCATGCTTCATTTTAATAAAATTATATATTTATGTATTATTAAATTATATTATTTAAGTAATAATTCATAAAATATATGAAAAATATAAAAGTAATAAGTGAAAATACTTTCTTCATTATTAATTTAAGATAAAATTATAAATAAACATTGATTATAGTCTGTATAAACTTGATAGATAACATGTATACTTAAAATAAGTAATTAAAAGAGAGTTCCTATAATACTATTAACTAAATTCTCTAACAAAGATAAATATAAAAAATTTGATAACATTACACTCTTGTACGAGGATAAAACAATATACAGTGTATATAAATAAATTATTTTTTAAAAACAATAACCAAACATTTATTAAATAGAATCGCTAAAAATATTTATGTGAGAAAATTCGGATTGCATATTTTTCTAGTGTAATTTTTTTCATTAGTTTAAATTTTTTATAGATTTATAAGAAAATGTCATAATAATTTGTAAGACTACCCCATTTCTTTTTGTAATTTTAATGTTTTTTTATAGAAAAAATAAGCGTGTGCACCTAAAAAATAAAAATTACAAGAAAAAAATCCAGCAAGCAACTCCTTATAATTCAAATAGAAAAACCCAAAACAATTCTAATAAATAACAAAATCTTCCATTCATTTAGGAGAATGTGTCTTAGAAAATTTAGCATGAAATTTAGAAAATACGTAATAGAGCTGACAGCAAAAGTGCACTTAGAAAAAGTTAGCATAAAATTGGTTACAACATTTTAACTTGATATACATATTTTATTATTTATTTATTATTATATTAATATAATCTAAATCCAATAAATAATAACATGCTAATATCAAGATATTGTAAAAAATATATATTAACATAGCATTGAAAATATCATAATAATTTGTAGGTTAAATATGTATTTGGGTCATAGCAAATCTCAACTAGGTATTTGTTTTCTTTTTGTCCCAATTGAATCCAAATACTTGTTAATTTGAGGCAATAAAGCCCTATCCGTTAATTTTTGACTGACGTCGTCTGCACATGGTGAGCTGTAAATATTTTTATATGCGTGGCAATATGTATTAAGTTGAATGGGTGGTTCTTTTGTATAATGAAACATTCCACGTGGACAACTAAATTTTTTATGTTGATAGCCCTAAGCCCTAATATTTAAATCAACCCGACATCGAAAGTTTATACTTGTTCATGCTGGGGAGGAAGAGTGCTGGAAGTAGAGTTGTGGAAGCAGTGTTTATACTTGAGCTCATCAAATGTCTGCTTCATCCTCTTCTTGCAAATGCTTGGGTTCGGGTTTTCAACAGAGTTGTGACAGTGTCAGCAGGTTGGGTGTAAAACCCACTTGCTTCTGTGGTCAGAATGCAGTCTTTCACATTGCAAGAACCCCTAAAAACAAGGGCAAAAGATTTTGGGGATGCCCCAAGTTCAAGGTAAGTTTAATGGATGCAATAATCTGACTTTTAATGTGGTTTTCTTCTTCTTCCAGAGGGTGGGAGTCAAGATTGCGTTCACAGAGTGTGTTTTCTTCTTGGATAGGGTGGGAATGAAGATTGTTCTTCTGGATGCAACTTCTTTCAGTGGTGCAGTGAAGATGTAATTCATGAAGGAAATGTGGTCACTGTAGAAGAAAGTGGAAGAAATAAAGTGGGTGGAAGTTTGATGAAGATGGAACAAATGCTGATGAAGATGAAAGAGAAAGATGTTGAAAAGCTGAAAATAGCCTAGTGTTGTTAGTCTGGAAAAGTGGTTGAAGGTGTTAATGGGGATGGAGGTTATTATATGTGTTTGTAATGTAATTGTGATATTAATGTTGATGAAACTAGGTTGATTTGTTAGTGGAAGGTTATGCAATATAATTTGATATTTGGAATGTTATTGTCTGTTTTATTTATAAAGGTGACTTGTTACTGTTTAATATTGTCGTCTTATTTGTTATATTTTCTTTGCTAATCCAAATACTTGTTAATTTGAGGCAATAAGTTAAAGGAAGTGCACAAGTAACATCATACGTAATGGTCAATCACTATCATACAAGAATGATCACCACATCAATACGTAATGGTCAATAAACTTTGTCTTATAATATCTTATAACAAAACAAACATTGTCTTACAATGACAAAACCTCATAACAAACCTGATGAAATTACACCAAAAGATAACAACCTAATGAAATTACACCAAAAGATAACTCATAAAACATTGTTCCTTCATCAATACAGATTACATGATATTTAAAAGAGTGTCTTCAAAATGGAAGTAAATAAGAATTCATTGATGAGAAGGAAGCACATTAGACTCCTGAGTTGGTTGGTCAGCAGGGACATGTGTTGAAGGTATTGTCACTTCTGTTGGTTGACTAGGTTGGTCAGGAGGCACTTCTGTTGTTGTAGGTCGTTGTGGACAAGATCTTTTGTTGTGTCCCATTTCTTTGCAGAGACCACATGGTTTTTTACTCTCACCCTTTCTTAATTCATTGTCATTCTTCTTCAACTCCCAAGCCTGTAGTCTTCATTTTTTCTTGGGCCTTCCTGGCATTGCCCTTTTCTTTGGGGGTAATACATCTAGATATGGTGTAATCTCTCACACATGTTGACCATTGATAGGATAAATGATGGTGTTGTAGGTCTCTTCATAAGTAGACTTCCTAAACCAATGCCCAATGTAGTCTTCTGCATTTAAATTCAAGAACTTCATTGCAGTGATGGTGTGAGTGCAAGGAATGCCACTGGTTAACCATTTTCTACAACTACAGTCTTTGTTGTCAAGATTGACAACAAATTTCTCTCCAAATTGTGAAATGTGTATGACTTCAAATAAATAGTCTGATGACCACCTGCCATCAGTACAAAATGACAACACAGTTACCAACAAAGTAGACATAAAGTGAAGACCAAGTTAATTGTATGATTATAGTTACCTTGGTAACCAATATCTTGTTAACCATGACTGCTTTTGAAATCTGTTGAGAACCTTAGGGCAGACAAAACCTTGATATAATGTCATTTTATTCCTGTTGGTAGCCCATTTCTTCATAATTAAACCTTAATGTCTTCTAACATGGATATAATTGGCTTAGACCTAGTATGAAGTAGCACACTGTTGAAGCCCTCACACATGTTGTTGACAAGAGTGTCACAATGTGATGTAGGGGTGAATCTAGATCTTGACCAAAACCTGCGAGATGAAGATCTCAGTAAATATATTCATTCAAACTAAATATAACAGTAAATATAAAGTATGAGGAACAGTGAATACATACCTAGGTGGAATTGCAATCAAGTATTTAAATGCATCTACATTGACCTCTTTAATTTTCCTCATTTCGGACTCCCATAGTTGTGGATATGTGGTTGTTGTTGCACTCCACATATCCACAACGCATAAACATAGCACACATCATACTAACCTTAACTAGCGTAAACTTTCACTTCGGTTCCTCCACCTCCACGTGATTGTCTTCGTCTACTTCTTCTTCTTGCGAAATGAAATCCCTAATTTTCACTCACTCCCCAAGTAAAATCCCTAACTTACCAGGTAGCAATCCCTAATCCTCTAATGCAACTTTAGTAAAAAAATCCCTAAATACAAATATCCATGTCAAAAACTAATTTTTTAAAATCAAATTTTCACGTAATTGAATCACTATAAATGAGCTATTAATGTCTGCATTCAACTCATCAAAATTAGACGGCGTTAATCAAAAATTAACAAAAAAAAATTATTTTACCTCAAATTAATAAGTATTTGGATTCAATAAAAAAAAAAAAACGAGGACATATTCGCAAATATGAGTACCATAATACATATTTAACATCACCCCTTTTCTTTATGTAATTTTAATGTTACTTTTTTTATATATAAAACAATAGGTGTCTAGTGTATGCCTAAAAAGAATGCGAATATATGATATTTGTTTTTCTCTGTTCTAAAATTTGGGAGTAGTCACGGAGTGAAGATTTGGAAGAAAAAACGGCACCTAATAATAAAGATCAATCCGGTACCGTACAGGAGTAGCGGTGGAGAGAGGAGATGGAGTCGGCGGGGGAGTGGCTGGAGAAGGCGCTGGTCGAGTTGTGCTCCAAGATTGAAACTGGTTTGGGTTTAGGTTTGGATGAAGAGATCATCAAAGGCCTTGTTTCTTATTGCGACCTTGCCCAGCCACAAGATGCCAAAGAGTACCTTGACGTAATTTTATTATACTTTGCCAACGATAACTATTTTTATTTTATTTTATGAAATTTTGATTCCTATTGCTTCCAATCCGTAATTATTTCATTTGTTATTTCAAAATGTATTCTGCAAGTAATCCAAATCACAGATCTTTTCACTCTCTGGAAATTTGGGATATTAGGGTTCAATGTGCTAGTATGGTAACTATTATTAGATTAATCACTTATAATTGAAGTTTAAGGATTAATTGTTCTGAATATCTTACAATGCATTCATTTGTATTTCTGATTAGGTTTATCTTAATCTTATTCCTTTGCAGAATATAATTGGTCAGGAAGCAGGGAAAACCGTGATTGCAGAGTATTTACGGCGAAGAGGTTATTCCGAGTTCAGTGCTAACACAGATGTTCCAACTACCAAATTACATGCGTATGTCAAACCGCCATCTGTTGAGTCATCAGCTGGTGGAACAAAGAAATCAGTTAGAGCATCAAAAGGCTCTGGCCGCAGCCATCAAGCAGAACCCAGCAAAAATGTGCTTAGCA